TACTGAATAGAGTTTAAATTACAGCTTACAGTAGGGTTTCGGGGTGTGATGTGGGTTTACAGTGAGGTTTACGCTTGAGATGTACCGAATTGAATAGAGTTTCGGGTCTACAGCAGGCTTCTGGGGATCTTGCGGTAAGTTCAAAGGTTCAAAACAGTTCAGAGGGCTTCTGGGGATCTTGCGGTAAGTTCAAAGGTTCAAAACAGTTCAGAGGGCTGGTGTGAGTTACTTCCTAAACCTTGCTTTCAGGTCTTCTGCAGATATCGATGCCAAGTGCATTCTTCCTATAACTGGCACATGCATTTCCGCCCGGGCTCCCTGCCAAAAGCCTCTTGAGTCATTGAGCTCCAAACCTCGATGCCTAAGCAGAGCACCTTCGCAGCTTCATCCGTTCGTGACGACACACCTCAAACTACACTCGCCATTGAATCTAACACCGAGCGGTTCAGTGTTTGGGGTTTACAGGCATCGCAAGTGGCAAACCCTAAACCATTAATTAAACCAGACGCCATGCTCAGCGAGTGAAGGTGAGAACCGGCGGAAAGGGCACTGCGCTGGGCCCTCAGAGAGCCTGCGTTCAAATTGGAGGATGGGGCTATAATCTCGGCCTCGAAATAAACAGACAGGTAAATGAATATATATATATATATATATATATGTTTGATATCGTGGTTCCTGTTAGTTACGCGCCGTTTTGGCTAACGACCCAGCCAGGGTCGATCGAGATGTTGTTCCGCGCTCGCTTGACATCGGTTTTGGTACTTAGGGCTCAGGGGTCGAGGTTAGGGGTTTAGGGGTTTGGGGTTTAGGGTTTCGGGCCAGCAATTCGGGTTGATGACTTGCAGTTGAGCCCGAGGCCCTTCAGACTCCCTTTAACAGGAATAAACCCGAATTCAAAAATAAACTTTGAGGTTCAAAGGTAGGTTTAAATGGGGTTATAATTCCCCTAATATGGGTTATAAGTATAGTGACCCTGCATATAACCCTACTTAAAACTACCCATGAACCTCCAAGTAGTGTCAGCTGAACATAACACCCAACCCTCCACCATCAAGTCCTGGACCCCAGGAACCGTTTGGAGAACCAATATCCAGCACCCCCCAAGGGCCCTTTAATGGAGCCCTTATGGTCCGTAATAGTGGGTCTTTAGGGTATACTAGAGGGCACTGGGGGCCCCTATATCTTTAAGCTCCACAGTAGAAGCCCAAACGTTGGAAACCCCATAGCCTCAATCCTTAAGAGTAATGTAAAAGGAATCCCAGCACTATTTGGCCTTAATCCGGTTTCCAACTTTATGGGGTTTACTGTAGGGTACTTTTCCCAGAGGGTCCAAGTTCCCAAATAGTAGGGTTTTAGGTCCCAGAATCCATGCTCTGAATGTTCACTCTAAGGCGCCGGACGAAGCTGACGAAGCATCAGTCTCATGGCGCAGATGATCGGCAGCTCCAGGCGGCACAGGGTTTTTTAGGGTTCGAAAGGTTCAGTCTTCAGTTCAGGGTACGGTCACGGTTTAGGGTTTAGGGTTCAGGTTTCAGGGTTTATAGGGTTTGGGGTTTAGTCTTTTAGGTTTAAAAGGTTTAGTGTTCAGCTTTTAGATTTCAGGGGTTAGGGTTTTAGGTTTAAAAGGTTTAGTGTTCAGGTGTTAGGGTTCAGAGGTCAGGGTTCATAGTGTCAGACCCTAAACCCTAAACCCTCAAGCCCTAGCTCTGAAGACTTCGGAGCTTGGCCTAGGACAAGTGTGCGGTTTCAATATCTTTGACGACCGGGGAGCCTGAGTCTATTCGGCTTGTGGCTCAGGGTTTTGGTTTGGTTCAGGGGTTAGCAGGCTTTTCGAGCCAATCTTACTTCAGAGCTTGCATCGAAGCGCAAGTCTTCGGTTGATATGTGCACCCAAGTACTTGGAGGTTCATGATCGGTCATAAGTGGGGTTATATGTCCCCTAATATGTGTCGTAACTATTCTTACCTTGCCTATAACCGTACCTATAACTACCCATGAACCTCTAAGTACGTTCGAGGCCATCTATTTGGGGCCCTAGGTTAGGTTTCGGGGAATGGGGTGCATGTTCTCGGCTCACGCCTAAACCCCAAACCCTAAAACCTCAATTAAAGGCTAAACCATAAACCCGTATAGGTCCCCTGCAGACACCTTCAACCCTAAACCCTAAACCCTAGACCCCTAAACCCCTAAAGCCCTAAACCCTAAAGCCCCAATCCTTGTAAGGAACTGTTCCAGGAACCTTTTAATTCAACTCCATGATCGCTCTAGCTCCCGAGTTCCCCCAGGCACAACTCAAGCGCCTGGGAGTCAACAACATCCCGGGGATCGAAGAGGCCCTGCTTAGGATTTGGGGCTTAGGGTTTAGGAGTTTAGGGGTGGTTTAGGGTTTGGGGCTTAGGGCCAAAGAGTTGAGGCTTGGGGCTCAGGGTTTAGGGTGTAGGCCTTCGGGTTTCGGGTTCAGAGTCTAGAATTTATAGGATTTACAGGGTTGGGCAGTTGAAGGGCCCTGGAATATAGGAGGTGATCCTTCTTCTGAAACTCCCGTATCCCTGGAGTCGTAACTGAATGAGCAAACATCTTTGGGGTGTACTTAGTAGCTTCATTATATAACCTTTTGGGGTTCATCTAAACCTACTATAATTCAAAAGGTTAACCTTTTTTGGGCTAGGGTGCTCAGGTTCTGCGTAGGGCTGGGGTTATTTGGTGCAGGGTGTAGTGTCGAGTTTGCTGTTCCATTTCGAGAATTAGGACGGTGTAGCATGTCAGGGAAGTCATGGTTTCAGATGTTGGAAATCCGATATTCGTAGCTGTCCTTGTTAGTTCACTCTATGCACACATGTGTAGTATAACCAGGCAGCCGAGCAACATTTAAGTGTTTGGGAAGGCTTTATACGAGCTTTGTCGGCGTCAGCCTGCTCTAAATACCCGAGAACCCTCAATCCCAGTCATAGTCTAAACCCCAAAAGCCCTCAAACACACAAAGCCAACCTTAAACCTCAACTTCCTGAACCCTAAACCTCCCGAACCCTACAGGTGAACATGTTCAAAGATGATGGTACCGTCCTCCACTTTACCAACCCGAAGGTCCAGGCGCCTTGCGAATCTGTTGGATTTTGAGGTGCTGTGTTTGGAGCTTGAGGCTTGTTGGTGTAGGCCTGTGGGGTCTTTCGGGGCTCTGAGTCTAAAGATTTAGCTGTTAGGATGTAGAATCTGGGGGTGTTGGTGGTTTGGGGTGTTTCCTGGGCTTTTAGTTCAGGGTCTTAGTATGTAGGTTGGCTTTTAGGGCTTAAACAAGCGCAGTTTCTCAGGACATGTTATCAGGACATATTATAGTAAAACCCACACAGCTGGGCAGGTTTGAGAATTAGTTCTCGTGTATATGCCTGGTATGAGACTTCGGCGTCTCCAAGCAAGCATTTCGTGATGTGGGAGTTTCCGAAATGGGTGACCCCAATATAGTATCCTAAATTGTAGGATCCTGACTATAAGGACAAGGACCCAAAAATAAGGTACCCCTGACGGGTCCAAGCTGGTACCCACGGCCTTGATCCCAGTCTATGTCTATCGTTGTGAGGATAGCATAGGAACGTTCAAGAGGTTACACTGCGACCCTAAGCCCTACAGCTCCAAACAAGAAGCACCTTGTGATTCGGGAGCAGGGCGTTTTGAAGACCAATTGTATTGGCAGTCTGCATTAAACATGGCGTAAAGGTGCAGCAGGTACGTCGAGGCTTCTCGATAGCAATGTCGCGCTAGTGGCAGCAAAGGAGCCATATGTTGTCTGTGCAGCGTCTGCCTGTGTGTCCGTCCATCCGGTTTCCGTCTGTCTAGTATCAACCTTTGAAGTTTTCTCATGCGGGTTTTTTCCATTTTTGTCCCAGTCCGCGTCTCCCCCTCTCTCTCCGTGTCTTCGGTTCTGGGTTGGAATATGTATATAAATATAAGTATTAGTTAATCACTGGCAGTACCAGTACAACCACCAGCCCCAGTCTCAAGATCAAGATCTACTTTTTTATATGCGTACATACACGTACACCTACATACATACATATACTTACATACATACATGCATACATACATCACAGTTTTGGGTGGATATTTGAGTTTCTGAGAACTGCAAAGCCACCGGCATTTACGCCGCTTTCTATGTGTTCTACACATCGAAAAAGGCGGAGGTAGATCATGGCGCGGGTGACTATATATATATATATATATATACACATATATATATATATATATATATATATATATATAAACACACATGCGCACACCTGTATAAGTCGCATCCTGCATTGTTTGCGATGTGCTGATATGCCCACAGACAGGTACATATTTGTGGGTATATGTGTCCACATACACGGATATCTCATGGATGCATTGATGGATGGGTGACTGGCCGGCTGCACGGATGGATGCATGGAAGTTTGCCTTTGGGTATGTATGCCTGTCTACCCATGATGTAGTTTCTGACGGCGAAGCCTCTGAGCGTCAGCGCCTGGTCTAAACCCTAGACTCTGAAATCCCCCACAACCCTCAACCCGAAACCCAACCCTAAACCCAACCCTAAACCCTTAACTCTGAAAGCCCCTATCCCCTCAACCCTAAACCCAACCCTAAACCCTAAACCCCTAACCCCTAAACCCTAAACCCAACCCTAAACCCTAAACGGCTCAAGGCCGTTACCTCTCAAGCTCCCCCTAGTCTTTTCCAGGTGCAGTCTAGGAAGGTCCGTGTGGGAAGATTGCTCGCTGTACGGTGTGCGCGGCGAGAAGAAGGAGTGGGAAGGAGGACGAGGAGGCCCTCATCGTGTCCCTGGAGGGCGAGACTGCTGCTCAGTACTTCGGCTTCGAGCGAGTGTGGGGTGAAGATACGTTGGAGTAGAGTGAATCCTGCGCGACACCTGTTAGGGAGACTTCGACCCTGTCAGTGTGACGTTCGTCTTTGGGGAAGATCTACTTCAACTCGGTGCCACCCGAACGTGCTTGAGTGCCCCTACGAGAATGTCGAATGCTGCAGGCGTTCCCATTGAGATCGATGAAGATGATGACCTTGAGAATCAGTCGCCGACGGAGATTGCGGACGAGGAGGAGGAGGAGAAGGACAACGACGAGCAGGGGGTGAACAACAACCTTGACCCTCGTGACGATCCGGGACAATGTGAAGGCGAACAGATGCAGGTGGACCCCCATCTAGGTGCTCTTGGTGAAGTTCGGGATGAAGGTGTGCTTTTGGGTGGAGGGAAAGAGAAAAGAAAGCGAGGCCGTTGTCAAGTGAAGAAAGAACAAGGTCATGATGATGATGAGGACGAGGAAAGCCCGACGAAACGAGCCTCCACTGATGATGTAGCACCTGTATCGGGACGTGAACTCCGAGAACTCCTTGCTCTACATCTTCAAGAAATGAAAGGACAAATTGGAGGAAAGCTACAAGAAGTCCAGGTGGAACAACAACGACAACTCCAGGAGATTGAGACCCTTAAGAAGAAGGCCACCAAGAATGACAAGGAAATCAAAGAGAACAAAGGACGCACGACAGCCAATGAGAAGCACCTCCACGATATCAAGACCAAGGTCGAGCTCCACGATGATCGAATCAACGAAGTCACGGCGTCATTGGCGAAACTGCAGAGTGACCTCAACTCCAGGCCACAGGGGGCGACTTCTAACCCAGCTGGTTCACATCAAGGACCTCCACTTGATCCATGGGCGAATTGGAGACAGAACCAGGCCAACCTCCAGAAGAAGAACGGTCATCTCCCGCGAACTCAAATGGGCGACTTTGAAGAGAATGGCCAATTGTCGGAGGAAGAGAAACGAACATTGATCGTTGGAGGCTGGGCTCAGGACACCAAGAAATCAGTCATCGAGATGGAATCTCGCGAACTACTTGCCCGTGATGAGCTTAAGGACTTGGTTGACGCCCCCGTACTTACAGTATTTGGTCCCCGACGCAGCGTGGGTAACCTTAAGTTCGATTACCGGGCGAACGAAAGCTTCCAAGGCCTCCGAGAGAGAATGTGGAAAACCATGAAGGCCATCCGGGAACTTGCCATCCACTTCCAAAGTGCTAAGGATGTTCCGGGAAGCAAACCGGCTTGGGCGAGTTTCGTGAAAACAAAGGAGGCGAGGAGACGAACCATGCTGGTAAGGCAGGTGAGGCGAGTGTGTATTCAGCTTGCCATGGATGCCACGTCGGACCAGGGCGGCCCTTCCAAACCAGCAGCGATCAATGCGGAGAGCTACGACACTGACTGGGGCAACGGGACGGTGTGGCATGAAAGCCACAAGCTTGCTTCAGCGACTCACCGCCAGCCAACGCCCAACACTGCGGTAATCTTGATGCCTGGTGGATGGGTGGACCTCAAAGCGGTGATGGACGTCACAGGATGCAGCGAGACAGAGGCACGCAGTGCCTTTGAACGCGAGCTGTGACATGACCAGCAGGCCAGTTTCACACAAGAAACCGTGCTGGCTCCGGAGGGGGGTGAGTTGCCTAAGGCATTTTGCCCTCATTCCAAAGCGTGTGGAAAACACGTGAGCAGCAGGGTGGCTCAATGGAATTTAGGAGGACAAGACGTCAAAACACTTGATGTTGTTCTGCATGGGTGCGACTTTGTATGTACTCAAGAAGTTGCAAGAGGTGAGTCAGGATGGAATGAAGACAGCGATGGCATTTTCTATTGGCTACATCATCGGCACGACAAACAGTATCGTGGTGTGGCCATTGGCTTTGCTCACGATTTGTTAGACTGTGTCATAGAGAAGGTTGCATGCGAACGTGGTATCTGGGTCCTTGCGCGCATCAGGGGCTTGGGGCGAGTTGTCTTTGGAAGTCTGCATGCACATACAGGAGTTACGCACGCCGTCTACAAGGAGGCGGTACAGGACTTCTTCGCAAAGTTCAAAAGGAAGTGGAGACAATGGCCTGTGATCTTGGGAGCGGACGTCAACGAACAACCAACCTGGGATCCACAAGATGACGGGGGCGTCAACGTCATTGATATGAGCCTCAATCTTCAGTGCTTCATGCACGAAGCGTCCGCCATTGGTCTGCGAGCGAATGCACCTGGGGAAGATCAATACGTGACTCCAACGCACTACCCACGAGATGAGACCAGAAATGGCAGACAGATAGATATGATCCTTTGCAAGCACGTGGTGATGGAAAAGGTGATGATCTACCCTGAACTTCGCCATTGTGTTGGGACCGACCATGCCTGTCTACAAGCCCTTCTTCCTCAACGACGTGCTGGACGCCAACCTTGGGGTAACGATTCGCGGCCTCGCAAACTCGTTGCTGAAGTTGACCCGCAGGAGATCATCGTCGACGTTGAGGATGTATGCAGATTGGCCAAGCAACACACAGTGCCTATATCTCACAGTAAATATGAGGACCCTGTTGAACTTAAAGAACTGATACAGCAGGCTCGCAGCACCAATGACAAAACCGTCTGGAAGAAGATCCACAAAGAACGGAGAAAATATCGACGCCAATGGTACAAGCGACGCCTCGAACGGGTACTACAAGGAGATTGGGGAGCATTTCGGGCCCATCAACGTGATAAACGACGAAATAAGGGATGGTGGGGGCGACTTTTGCTTGACTCTACATCCGCCCAGGTGACGAAGAAAGTCCAACTGCACCTCGAGGAGAAGCTCGTCGACAAGAGTGTTGCTGATTGGAGTGAGCAGCTCCGTGAACAAATTCAGACAGTTCCCCTGCCGGCGGAATTTGTTCCCGCTACCCGTGAAGAGATCTGCGAGGAGGTCAACAAGATGAAAAGGAACGTCTCGGTTGGGCCCGACGGGGTGAGTGTCGACTTTCTGGTACATCTCCTATATCAGCCCTCGCTTGGCCAGCAGCTCACCGACCTGGTGAATCATATCATCCGGACCAACGAGCAACAGGAGGAATGGAGGGCGTCATTTCTGGCTCTGCTCGCCAAATGTACGGTGCCCGAAGAGCCACGGGATCTCCGACCTATCTGCATGTCCTCGTCCTTTGCGAAGCTGGTCAACCGGGTGATCATTGGGCGACTTTTTCCAACGTTGAGGAGAGGTTCAAAAATTTCATCTTGCGGGAGAGGACGACAATCGGCCGACCTTATCGGTAGCCTGTCTAGGGTCCGCGATATAGTTCGGGAGTGGGACGAGAGCATCTTGGTCACCAAGCTCGACATTGCGGGCGCCTTTGACAAGATTTCTCGCCAGAAAGTTGTTGATCTGATCCTGCAGAGAACCTCTGGATCCCAGTTGGGATATGAAGTCAGATATCTGCTTGGACAACTCGATGTCTTTGAGCTCCAGGGAATGGTTCCTGGGGGTGATATGATCTCGGTGAAAGCGAGTTCAGGCATAAAACAAGGAGCACCGGAGTCGGCTGAGCTGTTCGGGATCATAATGGGATGGTTGCTGGAGATGGCCATGGGGAAATCATCGTGGAAAGCTATGGGTGCTCCGTTCGCTGACCTCGACCTTGAGCTCATGTACTTCCAGGATGATGTGTTCCTTTTGGAAACATCCGCATCTCGTGTCGCTAGGAAGATTGCAATGCTGAGGGATGAACTGGCATCAGCTGGACTACATCTTGCGATGAACAAAACCAAAATCATTGCATCGCCTGCGTACCGTGGTAAAATGTCTGTGCTCATCGGGGACCAGTCAGTAGAAATTCACAAAGATGAGTCAGTGCGGGCACTGGGGGTGTCGTTTAACTTTTCGGCTCCTGTCAGTCAGCAAGCTCATGAACTTCTGGGGAGAGCGCGCGCTGCCTTCGCCGAACATCGTGAATTGTTGACGGCCCCAGGCTCCTGGGAGAAAAAACTCAACCTAGTGGAGACGCTTATCATGTCCACTTGGCGCTGGTGCGCTGGAGCAGTTCACTGGCCCAAAGAGTGCTTGGCGCAGGCGAACACATTACAGTCCCACATCCTGCGCACTGCATTTGGCTTGAGGCGTAAAAGAGACGAGGACTGGGTGACCTTCAACAGTCGAACAATGCGATTCATTCGTCAGTTTTTGGTACAACGCCAAGTACCGAGGTGGAGCTCTGTCATCTTACGTCTCCAGCATGCACTACATGGTCATTGGGCACGTAGGGTCGAGACTATCGGACCACATGGCGAAGTTTGCCCTAACATCACCATGAGGGCGATCATGTGGAGGGATCTGCGTTGGTGGCGAGGAGAACAAGCCAAAAACACCACGGGACGCAAACACCCCAAGCAGTTTTACGCATGCAACCCGGAACGGAACATAGCTGAAAGTATAGGCACGACATGGGCGAATATCGCCCTGGATCGAGCGAGATGGAGTGCCACGCTGTCTGACTTCTTGAACAAACAGGATGTCCGATGGTGTCGCGGGAGACAACTTTCGATTGAGCAATAGAGTTGGAGCATTGAGTGTGAGCTTCGTCTGCCATGTATGGGAATGACGCTTTCCCTTCACGTTGAGCTGACCCTCGATACATGCTTGCAGCGAAGGTTTTCTCGAGACCGACTCTGTCAGAGGGTGAACATGACGATGCAACATGCGCATGAGTTTTCTGTACTACCTGACGATGATCTTGCCAAGGATGAACCACTATGCCGTTTCGTTTTTCTCTTCTTTTGACTCAGTTCTAGTGCTGGCTTTCGTGCGACGCCATGGCGATGTGGCGACTTCGATGGCTCCAACCAGTGATGGCGGCGATGCTGGGGCGACTTCTGGCTATCTCACTGGCAATGACGACCCCCCGAGCGGTCCCGACAGCCAGTTGGGCGGAGGACGGGTGGGAAACAGCTTGGGAGCCGTCGCCACACGCCCACGAAGCTGGCTGGGAAAACTCGTGGGGCGAAACCAATGACGAGATGGAGGAAGAACCACACGCTGTACTACAGGTACTACCGGGAGAAGATGAACCACTACCTCACCAACAAGATCCAGGAGAAGCTGAACCACTACCTTGCCAACACGATTCGGGAGAAACTGAACCACTACCTCAAGGAGCAACAGGGTCTTCATCACAACACGCGGGGCCGTTACTTCAGCACGAAGAACCACATGTACAACGAGACCAACATGAAGAACCACTTGCTGCCCTACCTGTACCACCGGGAGATAGTGTACAACTACCTCATCAATACGATCAGGGAGAAACCGGACCACTACCTCAAGGGGAAGTTGGAACATCATTTCAGTGCGAAGAGATGCCAGTTCAACAAGAGGGACTACAGGTACGAAGAGCCCAGCATGCTGAACTATATGTACCACGGGGAGAAGATGAACAACAACCCCAACGAGACGACCGTGAAGAATCCCAACCTGGAGAACTAAATGAGCCACAGGGTGAAGCCGAACAACGACCTCATCGTGAACCACAGGGAGAAGATGTACAACAACCTCATCACGACGATCAGGGAGAAGTCCAGCCTGATGCACTACATGTACCCCGGGGTGAAGCTGAACAACAACCCCACCTTGGCGGTCCTGAAGAAGCTACAGATGGATGGATTAAACGCGGAGGCAAATGGCGCCAGGGATTTGATCGCTGGCACTATCGAGATGGATCGCTCAAACCGCCACTGGCGAACAAACCTGCTCCACCACAGGGGCAATGCATCGGCGCGGGGGCGAGTTCTTCTTCGGCTTCGTCGTCTATCGCTGTGGTGGATGGACATGGGGCGAGTTCTTCATCGGCATCTTCGTCTACTGTTGGGATGGTTGGGGGCATAGGGACGACTTCTTCCTCGGAGCCTGTACGTGATGTTCGTACCACCAAAACTGGATATCAGTTTCGGACGTTTGACATCACAAAACCCTCCCCTCCGATGTCAAGGGCTGAGACACAGAATGAGGCCGAAGGCTTCTGGTCCCAAGGCCGTTTTGTTGCAAGACCGCGCACGCCTGCTGAACAAAGGAGTCATAACGGAGGACAAGGTCGTCAACGGCAAGAGAGGAGGGCAAAGCGAGTCCAGGACTGGAAAATGGGAACATGGAAGCCAGCGTGGTTGGTACAATATCAACGTGACAAACAGAAACGAGATGAAGCAAGGAATGCCGAGACACAGAATGTCGCAGTGCAACATGGATCGACAACACAATCGATGCCAATGTGCCCGCCAAATAGCTATGGTGGTGGCTTCGCCTGGGGACCGGAACTGTTTGGCCCAAACAGGACTCGCGCAGCATATGATGATGACATCGTGCTGGAAAGTGAGCGGGGACGTCACCAGCACCGAGATGACACTCCTGGGGGTGATTTTCCTGATAATACCGCATTGACTACCACGACAAGCACTGCCTGGGATGACGAGGATGAGGAAGAGGAGGTGAACTTCATGCAGATGAGGAACACTGAGCAGGCGGACCTCAGACAGCTCCGTATGCCGGAGCCGCAACTCCAAAGATTGGAAAATCTGCTTGATGGCTTGGCTGACCATCAGGAAGCGGGTCGGGGGCCAAATGCACGCTGGGCCTTGGCATGTATAGTGCGGCGTACCTATCACATCCAGGACCTCCTGGAGCTGTATATCCGAGTTCTACAACGAAGGTTGCAGCCGCAGGGATATTGGCCGATCGTAAGAGTCCCACGTCAACGTAGCCACGCCAATCACATCTACAACTGGGCCAGGCAGTTTGGAACTGTGCTACGGCAGAGCCTGGAAGAGTGTCTGCAACTACCTTTGGATACCAACGACTTTGAGGAGGCAGACCAGCTACAACATACGGTATCCACATCGTCTGAGGTTCTAGACTCTGGATCCTCGTTCACAAGTGGACCCATGGGTGATGCTGACTCCAGATGTACAAGGAGCCGAAGTCGAAGTCCCAGCTCAAGGAGACCAACAACTACGCGACGATCCACCCGACAAGCCTCATCGTCACTGACGCTAAATAGCGAAGAAAGCGTCAGTGAAGACAGACACCACATCCTGATTGACCCCAATGAGCTCATGGGCATATGGCGGGAATATGTGGACCCCGACGAGGGGACGACAACTGGAGTGGTATCGGCGGCTACTGGCAGCAATGACCCAATAGTTGCTTCAGGTCCTACGAATGGGGTGATGGATGACTTGCGGGTTGCTTCGGCTGATGAGGATGGTGATGTTTGCCATGCAGAAGATGCCCCTGCAGATGTGCCCTCCGGGGAGGAAGTGGATGATGTTGGGGGTGACGAAGTCAGTGGCATGCAACTTTCAGTGGTGGGGAGCTCGTTTTCTTGGACAACTACCTCTACGACGTGGGCGATGTCTTTGTATGCTAATGAAGTGATCTGCACTACGACAACGACGAGCACTACTACAGTGACGAGCAGATCGGGGATGGACTCTGTGCGAGATGCGGTCAACGAACAACTGGTCCAGGGGGGCGTCGCCGACACACGTGAAGTGTTACGACGCCTTGTTGCCCGTCTACGACATCTACGACGTCTCCAGGGCTTGGTGGAGGAGGCCATTGTGGAATGCTTACAATGGGTGCCGGTCTCGCTTCGACTACGTCCGTGGAATGCGCGGCTTCAGGAGCGCATCATCTGGCAACAGATAATGGCTGTTGGCGCCCAGGATGAGGACCTGCAACCTGCGCCGGTGGACGTGGATGACTTTGCCCATGTCCTTATGCAGCCAAATCTCCCTGGGCCAGAAGTGATGGGTGACATGATGCCACATATCCCGCAGGCCATGTGGGGTGCTTTACGGCGTCGACTCTGGAATCTCTGGAGGAGTCATGTGCAAGGTTATGGCCAAGCGCTGGCCCCGCAGACCGCCTCGTCGAGTACGACCCTGTACTTGGTCCAGGCTGACGACGACACGTTGGTGAACACTACGGGGCTAGAAGAAGAAGTACCGCTTGACTACTGGGAGGCAATGACAAGAACGGGGACGGCGACACGACGTCGTGGACATCTCCCTCGACCTCCACCTCGCCTGCGTGACCCACGTGATCGTCGTGAACCACGAGACCAGCACCGTGAACAACGAGACCAGCAACGTGTACATCGTGGACATCGTGAACATCGTGCACATCCTGAACCACGTCGAGTACATGAAGAGCATCGCGGTTCTGAAAGCAGTTATGAACGACGTCGCAGAAGAACCCCAAACTCGCCTCAACTAGCCCGTGAACTTCGTCGGCGTCGGTTTCGTCCTGAGAGCTCTACTGAAATGTCTGTACGTGAAAGGAGTCGAAGTAGAGATTTGTGAGCAATGAAGCTTCATGCAACTTGCTCCCTTTTGTGTTTTCTAACGAGTGCACACCCGAATCGGGTGGGCTGGCGAGGAATCAAAAGTCCGATGCACTTTTAAAAAAAAAAAAACCCTAAACCCTAAATCCTATAAGCCCAGCCCCTAAACCTTAAACCCCTAACCCCTAAACCCCTAAACCTCGAAACCCTAAACTCAATACCGACTCGGACATCAGGCCTCTGTTGCGGGCAACACCTACGTCGTTGCGGGCCCTGCCGAGTCGAAACGCCTTGAGGACGCATTGGGAGGTTTAGGGGGGGTTTAGGGGTCGGGGGTTTAAGGGTTTAGGGTTTAGGGGACAGGGGTTTAAGGGTTTAGGGCTTAGGGGTCAGGGGTTTAAGGGTTTAGGACTTAGGGGACAGGGGTTTAAGGGTTTAGGTTTTAGGACTTGGGGTTTTGGGTTTAGGGCTTAGGGGACAGGGGTTTAAGGGTTTAGGGTTTAGGACTTAGGGTTTTGGGTTTAGGGTTTAGTGGTCGGGGGTTTAGGGTTTAGGGGTGAGGATTTTCAGGATTTATGGGTTCAAGGGTTCAGGGTTTAGGGGTTGCAGTTTCTTCCTTCCGGTTTATGTCTCTGTCTTTCTCCCTCTCTCTGTCCCTCTCGCCGCTCTCGCTCTCTTAGTCTCTCACTGAGCAAGCCCTGAGCCGTAAACCTCCTAAACCCCCAGGCCTTCAATGCCCAAACCCCCCCTTAACCGTGAGCGCGGAGGGGTTTAGGCACCATGGTTTGAGCCCTAATACCTTAAGGACGAAAAGAACCCTATAAGGGTTTAGGGTTCATATACCTTACAGGAATTCATAGTATGTTTGTATAGGGCCCCTACTTTTAAGGCTCACTTGGTCCTTAAGGTAGTCACACCTAATTATGTACAACGCTATGGACAAAGTCCCATGATCCTTCAAAAATGATGGGAAAGGAGTCTTCTCGTAGAATTGTGAAAGAGAGCTGGTTTCAACGTAATCTCGGGGTCTCAGTTTTAATGCGAACATGGCTTAGGGGTATTCGTATTGATTGTCAGACCAAATTAGAGCTGTGATTCGAGCCATGTTTCCTGTATGAGCCCTTGTTCAACGCATGCCCAGGTCCCACATAGATTCCGCCCCGGCTCAGCCATAGCTCGGGATTCGTAGCATCCCTTTATGTAGAGGTAGGACGGGATTTTTTTTTCACAGAGCTCATACCGCGGCCAGTTCGGAGGCTCTTTTTAGAGTGACGCCACCATGAGAGGACTTGCTCCCTGGCATCATCAACCAGCTGGGTGCTGGCCTCAGATCACGAACGAATGGTAGTCAAAATTATGGTCCCTTCTTGGGGTCCTTACTATAATACGGCACCTAATATTTAGGTTACCCAAAAAGGGACCATAATTTTGACAACTACCCAAACAGGGTTTAGTGGGTTTAAGGCAAAAGGGCCTAGGCCAGAAGAAAGGCACATTTGCTTTTGGCACGGCTGCATATAGCCTGTGGGTTTCAGCTGTACCACCACCCTGTGGTTTATGGCACTTCGGATCACCATCTCAGCCCCATCATGTTTAGGTAGCCAAAGAGTTGTTGGACAATGGAAGCAGGCGTGGTCAGGACGTTTTCTGCGAAGCACACAGGTTGCCAGACTTATAGTTGTGTTGACTTCCAGGAGCCTGTCATTTTGGGGTTTCGTGTTTGAGGTTACTGCGCTCTTGTTAAGGGTCTTATAGATACCTGTTATGGCAACGTAGACTAAATCCCCTATATAACAAGAACCCAGGTTAAGGATCTCGAATGTCTTCATTGTGCTGTGTAGGTCGACGGCAGATGCTTTTTTTTCCCCACGTGTTGTGTCTTGCAACACCCGAATGTAGTTGTCGGCGGCACACCTCCATCTCCCGAACTTCCTAGCATTAGGGACCCCCAAAGCACATGAGCTTAAGCATATTACCGGGATATCCCTACCTTGTTGGGCTTCCTTTTTGAGGGGGTTTATATGGGATATCCCTTCCTATTTTTTGCTCATGTGCTTTTTTGCGGCCCTATAACAAGAGGGGTAACCAGAAGCGTTAGGGAGTTCTACAGTAGGGTCCCTCCTCGCGTCTGTAGGACAGCAAGCTGTCATCCGAAGTCGAAGCTTGCCTGAACCCGGAAGCCTAAACCCGCAAAATGAACACTAAAGGCCAGACCCTCAGATCCAACCCTGAAATCCTAGAAGATATTGAATAATTACAAATACTATTTTGGGGGGTTCCCTATTAGAATTGTGGTATAGTGGGCCCCCAAATCCTCTTCTAGTTATTTAAGGCCCCAAAATAGGAGCCTTAGCCCTGGTCCGAAACCCCAACGCCCAAAAACCCTAGTACCTTATAGTCCCTAAACCCAAAGCCGCAAGACCCTGGCGGCCTCCGGAGACTCGAACGGTTGATGATATAAGTTCTGCATTACCTTAGGGACCCTAACCTGTGAGAATTATGGTATATTCCTTATTATGGGTAATGCAGGGTTTATATCATCAACAGAAGAAGCCTGAGGCCCAGACAACCTCATGAACTTGAAGCGCATCGCTGAGAGCTACGCCACGACGGAAGCAAAGGCGGGTGGGTGTGGGGTCAGAGTCGTGGAGCTACTATGATTATGATAACCCAATACTGAATCATACTTAGGCTCGCTCCCGCCTCAAAAGCATGATTGCCATTATTGTAACAAACCCTAAACCCTAAACGATGCTCTTACTATTTCAGGCCATCAGGGCTGTGCGGATTAAGCAATTCGAGTTTAGGGCACTTTTCGGCACTTCCGTAACATCTACAGGCTCTGTTGCAGATATGACAGTGTCCCTACCTGAAAAAGACAAGTCGAAAGGAAGCGACAAATCTCGCGGCTTCGGGACGAAGAGTTCAGCCATGTAGTGCTGCGTGTTGGGCTTCAGTTTAGGGGGTTTAGGGTCGAGGGTTAGGGGCGCATGCGGATGCCGAATGCTTAAGAATTATAGGGTTTAGGGTTTAGGGGTTTAGGGTTTAGGGTTGAAGTCCCAAATAGTTCGCTCGCCGAGGACAGCGCGGACGCAGACATCCCGGACATTGGTGAGAACTTTGAGGAAGTGAGCAAGCAGTAGTCCTGTAAGCCTCGCGCCTCTATGGGTGTGTAGCATGGGCAGCGCCCGAAAATGTGCTTGGGAGGGGCTTTTGGGATCCTTTCTGACTTGTGTTGGTAAACCCTGAAGCCTCGATCTTTACTGCAAAAACATGCATGACCAGTTAGCATTACTCCTTCGTCTTCTTTAATCTTGCGTGTAACATCCAGCACCAAGTGTCACAAGCATGCTGGAAGGACCCCTGAGATCACAAAAGTCGGCAATCCTAAACCCAAAAAGCCTAAACCCTGAAACCTCTAAGCCCCAAACCGCAAGCCCTAAACCTAAGCCGTAGTTCCCAAGGTCCAACCCAGAAGCCTTGTGTCTCTCAGCCCTAAATCCTATGCGAAAGCTGCTCATTTCAATAAAGCCTGGACCCTAAACCTGAACCCCTCAACCTAAACCCTGATCCCTCAACCCTAAAGCCCTACAACGCCCCATACCACGTTATGACGTTCAGATGCCTGCAATCTAGAGCCCAGCTTTGCTGGAGCCTTAAGTGCTTTCTACCATAGTTACGGTTCAATTACCACACCCATATAGGTGGTACTATCAATAATTCAGTGCTTACTACCATAGTGATCAAATATGGAAAACATAGTTTTTCGCCGTTGTCTCAACATGATGGTACCTTCAAATTGGTTTCATTACTGCAACCCAGTATTCACTAGGTTGGTGCCTCAAAGACGGTACGTAAAGACGAACGCCTTCAGCTGCCCAGCCTGGGCGCCAGTCCCTACACTGCAGCCGTGATATAGGGGTCGGTCGAGTAGTTACTGCCACTGTTTCTTTAAAGTCTCTTTATAACTATATACGTGGGATCAATATCTTCCAAAGCCCAATCCAAGTTGTTCCGCCCTAAAATCTAAGGCCCAAAACGTAAATCCCAATCCCTACACCCCCCCCCTGTTTGCGTAAACCTCTAAAGGGGTAGCTCTAACAGGTACCTACAGCAATGGCTGCATGCTCATACATATACATTCCGCTGCCCATTGGCTCACAGTGGTTTTACCATATTGAGACAAGACAAGCTCTCCTTGCGTAGCAAGACAAAACAACTACTGTCCGTGTGCAGGGCGCTGCCCTTTGATCCTTAGGGAATAAACTGGTCATACACCTCCTAACAAGGAGCATTTCCTTGTGGGTGTATCGGCTCAGTTTTCTGGTAGCGGAGCCCGGAAAGGGCCGCCCGCCTCCCAAAGTCCGCTACAGCGGTCGGCCTCGCCGAACGCTTAACCAAGCGGATAAGAGGCAGCACAATGTCGAGCTCGCATAGCGAAGCCGACGACAGTTCCCAATCCTCCGGGGGATATGAGAACGAAGAGACCTCCCAAGGTCCAGCCACTTATGTCGCACAGTCATATGCAACATCTGACCGCATGCTTGCATCATTAGGCATAACGCCCAAGATCGCGCCTGCCTATGATGGCACCACCTCGTGGTTTGAGTATGAACAGTTGATTGACGACTGGTGCGACATAACAACGCTGGATGACACCAAAAGAGGTCCGTCTCTCAAGACGAGGCTCTCCGGATTGGCCGCAGTACAAAAGGAATCACTGAACCGAGAAAGGCTTGCAGCCCCAGATGGAGTAGATTACTTCAAGAAGAAGATGCGTCCATTTTTCGTGAAAGGAGAACAGTACGTTTTCCTGTGGCGTTTCCTCGGCCTATTCAAGGCATGGAAGGGCAACCAAGACTTTGTGACTTGGATTGCCAAGTTTGAGATCGTGCTACAGCGCGTGAAAAACTCATGGATGGATCTCTTACCA